GTGTTATGTCTCTGTGTTATTTCGTTTTATTACCTTGTTTCTTGTGAAGAGCTCAAATAGGACGGTGTTTACAGCAGTGTGTACAGGTGGATCAGTTGCTCGGCTGTCTGGCTCTGGTCTGCTCTCTCGTTCCCATAAACTCAGGCTGAATACAGAAGTGATTCCATGGAAATAACTCAGGGAGGCTCCTTTATTTACCATCCGTATCCCCTCGGTACATTTAGGCTAAAGAAGCTGATTCGGAGTGAAGGCTGCAAACTTTGACGAAGTGTTAGCTTTAACTGGTAACGACAAATATTTACAAGCCACCGACTTCTTAATTCAGGATCGCTTGGAAATTAATGAAAACTTTAAAGCCCATTATATTAGGAAGACACCAATGTTCATAGTATTGCTTTATTTGTGTCTCAAATACGACTTAGTCTTTTCTAGCTGTCATGGTAACTCAAAGCGGAAACAAATTAGCCGCATTGGCTCATGGAGATGTGACGTCAGCGCCCTAGGTGCAAAGGGTCCATATCTGTTAAAACTAAAAACGGAAAATTCCTTCAAATTTCTACTGTACATTTACCAGTTTTGTTTGTTTTTTTTTACAGTTTTTTTAGTGCATTCTTTTTTTCCCCAATTCAACCTGAATCTAAAGTCATCTAAAGGCCAAAACAGTGAACTATCCCTTGTTTGAGTTTTGAGCTGCTTGTCAAAACCAAAATATTGAGCAAAATTTGAAAATCTAATTGTTTTGTGGCATTTCATTTAAATGTAAATCTAAAAATTGTGTAACCTCTCACTAGGTTTATTATTTGAAAAGTCAAAAAAACACCAGTCTTGGTTGTATATTTTTCCCACTTGCCCAGATCTTGATAAAAGTAAATTCCATACTTTTCCAAATTGCTAAGACCCTCCTTACAAGCATTTTCTTTCCCTGTTGTTAGTGATAAGGCAAAAATCTAATCATTTCTGAATAAAAAAACAGAGGCGTAGACATCACTGTCAATTTATTTGGACAACAGGACAGACAGGTATAGAAATATGTCAAGTTTCACTGATGTCATGAGACAGCTGGTTATCGTAGATGTTTCGGTTTTTAGTAGAAAGGAAAGAAAAAAAAAAATCAGGCATTTTGATCAGAGAGGACACTTATTGAGCAAAACTACACATTCGCAGGTTAAATGATTCAAAGGGTCGGATTTACAGCTGTTCAAACATAGGAGAAGCTCAGGAATCCACAGGATATGACCAGATGCAAGGCTCGAAACCAAAAGTGAGCTTGATTTTGATAACACAGAAGACAGTTTACTACATTTCATTTCCACTTAATATAACAAACATTGAGTATTTTTTTTTGTGAAGAAACAATAAGCATGTAAAGACTTCAGATAGAGTAGGAATACAGCTCAAATACAGAGAGGCCTGTACTACGAAAGTCGCCACGGGTTTTCAAGTCGTACTAAACAGATGGAGTCAGTAACGGGTCGATAAACGTTAAGTCGTGACGCGCGAAGGAAATGAGCACCGTTCCTTCCTGCTGAAAAACCCAAGCGGTGAACCTGAAGTTGTCTCACAGCTTCATAGTACCGGTTCTGGATGTTTGAGATGTAAAGACGTCGCTTCTGTCTCAAAGAGCAAAGAGGAAACAGTTTGATGGAAATAGTTTACATTCAGTAGAGAAAGCATCGATTTACAGTAGCTGTCCACATTTCTGGCATCTGGAAAGATAATTTGGAAAGATAGTCTGTTTTCTTTTTTTTTATTGTTTTAAGCACATAAAATCAAGAGCATTGCACATTTCAGAGTTAGCATAAAATGGATAATCCCCAATATATTCCATAAAGTTTTTTTTTATAAGTAGTTTAGTGTTGGTAGGTAAAATGACTACTCTAATTCTCCCCCGTAGCTTCATCATACAGGCTAACATGAGGCAGGCAGTGTATATCTTATCAGTAGACATGTGAATCACCATCAACACAGGAGCAATCACATTCTGTTTCTACACTCCTAGTGTCTAGTCATAAGCAAGTGAAAATAGGATTTGAGTGACAAAAATGTCAAAAGAGACATTAATTTTTAGTGCAATGTGCACTTATCCAATGTTCACTTTGAGTTTTCCAGGAGATAATAAGGAATTAAGACAAGGCATTGGTGAGCTAAACTGTATGACATCTTTTTGTGGTGAGCTCTACAGCCTCCCGTTTTTCGTTTTGATAAAAACTGCACTCAGGGATGACGGTGATGAGACGTGGAGCTCGCATGTGCCCATTTAATCTCCTCTAAGGACGTGACCGATATACCAAGGTGGGACGACGCTTTTAATAAGAATCGGAAAACCTCCTGAGCCACGGCTCATTGAGGACTTTCCTCACCGTCACATGAAAATAAGTCACTGCAGGATCTGGAATACATTTCTTATTATTAAAAAGATGTTTTTTCTTGCTATTTGAAGCTGCTTATATTGATTGTGCTTTTTTTTTTTAAAGAACATACATAAAAAAAAAATGCTCTTTAGAAATCCAGACAGTGTTTGATCAATAGGCTTGGGCCGGTTTGAGGTGTTTTGGTACCACGGTTTCAAAAACATAATAAAAAAAGCAATATTGACACATGTTGGAATAAAAACCGGATACATTTGTTACCAACTTGCAGCTGAGCTTTATTGTGTAGAATATTTTACCATTCTGCTCTTTTATAGAGTAACACAAGCTAATATTAGCTGAGTTGAGCCTGTAGTTGGTTCATCCTGAAAGGATGAAATAATACATCTAGATCATGAGAGTGAAATGAGATTTTAGCAATAATTTGGGGATGACAATAGAGGTTTCATAAACTTCAATTTGCGTTGTTCTGTGATTATCGATTTTAGGTTTGTTCCCAGACACAGGGCTTAGAAGGACATGCTAACTTTAGCGTCTAACAATTAGCTAGTAGCGGTGGAGTTTTTTTTTTGTTGTTGTAGACTTAAAGTGCCTTGTTAACAGGAAGAAAGGCTTCTGTAGCGATCTTAAAAACCGTAACACAGGTGAGCAGCCCATGCCTATTGCACAGTGACACATTAAACATCGCGATTCACAACAGATTTTAGAATTTGCCAAGGAAATACACAAAATACATACATAGCGACTGGACCGAGGACTTTGAGACTGGCACCAATTATGAGCAGCTGCCGCATTTCGGTATGATGAAGCCATTATGGAAACGTAAACAGCCCAACGTCATAAAATATGAAGCACAACCGGCGTTTCGAGGAGTTACCCCATTAATTTTTTTAAGGCTGCAACAGCTACAAAGCAAGTAAAGTGGCTTTACATGAGAATTAATCAACATTCAGTAGGAGTTCCAACGCACAATGATAGCTGACAAGCTCCGCATAAAGAGACGGTATTCCAGTAGATTAAAATCGGGGGCAGATTTTTACCACCCTGTGTGCGCTGTTGTATTCGGTGTCCTGGTTACTAAAGTTTTGTGTTTGGAATGTATCTGGAAATATTGTACCCTGGTTAGAACCGTTCAAGAAATATGCATGTCAAAGACATTATCCATCATTCATGTCGAGTTTTTATTTTCTTTTAAGAGGAAGAAAAGTCATCCATATTCAAACCAACAGGGCTGCGGTGCCTTGCAAAAGTGAAGCTTTTAGCTTTTTCATATGATGTAACGTTATAACCACAATTTGTAATGTCAGGGGTCAGCGACCTTTACAACCCTCCCCCACCAAAAAAAGAAAAAAAAAAATCATTGTTGCTCTTTCTCCTACTGAAGCAAGTATAACAAAATTCATTCAAATTATTTTTCCAGTAAGATACTATTGTCCTACATACATTTATTTAAATTTTTTTTTGTATTTTAGACAAACTAAAAACATCCAATTTTTACAAAAAGAGCATGATTTATGTTTTTAATCGACGTTCGATATTTTTGGAAGTGTCCGAAAAAAATATAACAAAAACACATATAAAAAAAGACTTCTTGCACAATTGGCGTTGTTCTATTGCAGAATTTGTATGGAGATAGAGTATGAGAACAAACAACTGCGGAAATGATAATTGTGAAGTGGCAGGAGGAAAACGCATGGCTTTCAAAATGTCTTACCTAATAAAAATCTGAGAAGTGTGTGTATTTATTCACATATTTTCTGAATGTTGTTAAATCTCTGAATGAAGAGACCTCAGAGTTTCAACTGGGTGCACCACTGAAGAAACGGTATCATAAAGATAATGTTTGTGTTTAGAACATGACAAAATGTGGAAAAAGTTCAACAGGTGTGAAGACTTTCGCAAGGCACCGAATACTTTTAGCCACGGTTTCTCGTTCATGTGCTCAGTTTACCTCACTAGGTGTGAGTGTTAGTGTTTTTGTCTTCTGGAGAGCTGCTGACGGCACCCACCTCATCATTTAAATGCCCTTAGGTGAGAACTGAAGGACCTCAGTAGTGTTTTCTGGATTCTAGCTACAACTAAAAGGAAAAAAAGAAAACGCTAAAATCAACATAAATCTAATGTACAGACACCAGAAATAATAAGAACAAAACAGACTAGCCAAAAACCGTGAAAAAAAAGGGTAAAAAAACAGATCGACCGAGGAGGACCTCCGTTGCAAAATCGTGAGTGTAAACTTCTTAAGGAAACAGAAACCGTAGCTATGAAGACGCTAAGTTCCCTCCCCCCCACTCGGATGATGAGAGCATGCTTCGGAAAAGGCGCAAACACACGTTTCGTTTCTGTTCACTTTAAAGACCTATGGGAGTGTTAATTCAGCACAGACACATCACTGGCACATGGAGAGATGGTGTGGGAGGCGAAAGCAGACCTGAAATCAAATAGCATTTGCAGACTGAGGTGACCAGACGGGCGAGGTTTAGATATGGCCGTGATTGTCGACGGTCACGGAGGTGGCGCTCGAACTCTTGTGATGGTCTGAACATTCTGGCACAGGCTGAGTTGTAATAAAAAATATACATGCATATCTTAAACCTCACCGATGTGGCCGCTGACTGCAGAGTATTTGCAAAAGCTATTTGAAAATCAGGTCTGCCGAGAGAGGAAGGTAACATCTGTAGTGTGTTCTTCTTGAAAGATGGAGCATGGTTGTGCGATTGGAATCCCCCTCGCATCCCAAGCCTTCGGATGAGAAGACCTTACTTAGCGAAAGAATCCAAGTTTCTCTTTAAGCCAATCTTCCGTTAGGTCCTCTGTGTTCCTGATCTCAAACGCCTGTCAAATAAGAAAGGAAGAAAGAAAGAGAGAAGCAAAGAAAGGAAGAAGGAAAAATGACCAAAAGTTGGTTACTGAACCCTCCTGCACTGACATGTAAAACTGCTGCAGAGTAAAATAGAAAATTTGTTCCAAAAACAAAAACATCTTGCATTTCCCTACTTCTTCACATGGTCAAAGCTGGGACAGGGGTTTAGTGACATCTAGTGGTACAGGTGAAGACTGCAACTAACTAAATATGTAACAGAACCATTTTGTAGGCGAAAAGAAACTTCTTTAGACTATTGTTTTGGCTTCGTGGGCCAGGTTAGAAATTAAATCACAACATGGCTCCTCTATTAACCCTTTAACAACGTTTTTTTCCAGCATTTTACTGAGAAGTAGCTGGTATATTAAAATCAGCAGATGCTCAGTTCCACCAGGTGGTTGCTAGTTGCTGCTGGCTAGTCTGAAGGAGCTGAGGGGGGATAGTCAGGCTCTGTGAGGTGGAAGCTCGGAAACTGCAGCTCTGAGGAGGAGCTGCGTCTCGAAGGCGGAGCTAGGTCCACCCAGGCGTTTTGCACAGCTGAATGGTTGCTGCGGGAGATTAAATGATTTCTCAAGCACGCATGAAAGAATTAAGGCATCGCTCCAGGAGTGTATTTGACGAGGGAATAACATTACGACACGATGTAAAGTTCAAAAAAGTAAATTTTACGTGATGCTACTCCTGTAACACAGCTGAACGCTAATATTTCTAGCAACTTGTAGTGGATACAACCGGGCCACAAAGGACGTAGCCAAAGATTCACCAACCTTGGTCAGTTGAACCGTTTGCACCAGCTTGTTTTTGCTTCCTGCGTACATCATCTGTTGCTCCGGTTTACAACCTGCCAAGCAAAACAAATATACATAAGGAAAGAAAAAGGTGTTTTCTCATGAGTTGAGTCTTTGGTGGCCGGTGTCCTGCAATCCTTCGATCTGACGCACCACAGAGAAACGAATTACATCCTCAGCATGCATTCAGGTTCTACAAAGTCACATCAGTGGCCTTCATTTGGGCTTTGGTTGAAGCAGAACCACGTTTAAAAGTTCCAGGACACCGTCACCAAACAGACTGCTTTGTGGGCTTTTTTTGGGTTCCCTGCAGCAGAATCAGCCTTACCCACTGGACTGGAGAAGATGAAGCAGAGCGGGTAGGACACACGTCCATCATCGTGTTCATATTTATAACTGTAGACGATGAACGTTCCCTGGGCTAAGGACAGCAACTAATATGTGATTACATTTTATTATAAAGGTAGGTACTCAGATGTTGTCAGTTCAAAGGATATCTGGGTTGTCTCTCTGGCAGTTCATCCTTTAGCTCATCAGGTGAAATATCCTAAAAGAAAAAAAAAATAGTTTCAAAAATGGGAATATTTTTAGCATAGTGACTTTAAAAGTCAAACCAAGACTAAATGAACCATTTAAAGGTGGGAGATTTAAAAAGACCAACTTACCTCATGCTCTTCTTCGAGAATAACGAGCTGCTTGTCTTTATCAATCTTCACTGAAAACACACACACAAAAACAAAAAGTCAATAACTAAATCCGCCAGCATTTCAGAGTGAGAAATACCAACAAGCTGAAGCAATCTCTTCCTCTGCTTGTGTTCTGTAATATCTGGAGTTGAGAGTCCCTGTCATGCAAACACGCGGCTAATCCCATCCAGCAGAAACGGCATTCTGAACCGGACAGGGTGGAGGATAAAGCTTTTCGTCTTTACGGTTCTCCACCTCGCTGCAATCAGACATGACTCAGTGTCACCATGGCCACGAGGGTTTTTAATACGTGTGGGTTTAAAATTTTTTTTTGCCCTCCCCCCCCACATCTGTGTTTTAAGCTAAGCACAATTAATAAGAGAAATCAGGAGTTAAGTCTGAAAGACCTTGGCAGTTTTTGCATTAGGTTAAAGTTCTTGCATGAGAGGAATGTTGGCCTTGTCATCCGGTTCATAAAAACACAGTCATGGGACTGTATTGTTTCAATAATCCAGCCTTTACAAGCTTTCTAAGACGGTTGCAAATCAAACCTCAGGCTTTGAAACGCACAAGAGATTCCAGACTGTCACCATGCGGGTAAAATAAAAAGGCTATGCCTGAAGAAGTAAGTTGACTCAAAAGCTTCTAGAATCAACTTTAGCAGAAATAAAGTCATTTTCTCGGTTTTAATCTGTCATTCATGTGATTTTGCCCCACTGTTTTTTACACTAGCTTTGCAGGAGGGCTGCAGCAAACGATTATTTTAGTCATTGATTGTTCAATCAAATACTCTTTGATCTGTACGCTTCAGTTAACAACTAATCGATTGCTAAATTAGTTGCTTCCGTAAAAGATTATGAACACAAACAAACTGATAATCAACATGCAACAGAAGAAAAAGGTGAGGGATGTACTAATGATGGCCGCATTGTTGGTTTCCTTCCGGAAGCGAAACTCCTTCAGCTTCTTCACCAGCTCTTCATCCACATCGCACACGACCAGTGATTCACTCTGACCAGAAGAAGGGGAGGGAAAAATGTTAACAAATTAAAAAAAAAACTGAATAAATAAATACAAAAGTAAAATCTAGGTGTAGTATAACCCAACTACACAACGACCTCATTGTTCTTATTTATTTCTTAATATGTAAATCTAGTAAGCATGAATTTCGAGTGTCATCGCAAAGATGCTTTTGCTCATGAAAGAAGTAGAGAATGTAAACAAGAAAAAAAAAATCACATTAATTAAATGTTCAGTGTCAAGTTGTCTGCTTTTATTTTGAAAGCAGGGTTTCTTTGTCTATATTCCATTCCAAGGTGTTAAGGATCCCACTGTGAGTTTGCATAGGAACCAAATGTGTAATAATGATATTAGTAAAACTCAGAGCCCACAACAAGAGCAGCTACACCGATGCTAATGAGCAGCGTACATTATGAACACACATAATGGTTACATCGTGATTTAACGTAGCTTGTGTGAGATACGTTCAACACTCTCCTCTTCATATAAACACACTCACTGCTCGGGCAACAGGAAGTGTGTCCTCACATCCACCCATTGTCCCTCTGACTTCTGCCCTCAGGGCAAACAGTCGAGTTTTCTGCAAAGCGTCACATAAACAGACGCTGCACACTCTCATCCGAGTTAAGCGTCAGCGCATCTTTCACCCGATTCATCGACATTTTAGGGTTATTGTTTTTTTTTGTTTGCAAACACTGAAAAAAAGACAAAGAAGCTAATATAGGATGGCATTACGAATTGTGTTTTTGTAGCGTTCATCAAACAAACACTATGACACAAGAAAATAAGTCAACACACGCATGTTGTATTAGTAGCACTGCTACTTCTGTTTCAGTCAGTAAATTATTTTTTGCTATAGTTGGATTGACTTTTCTTTCTGGTTTAAATGAAACCTCACGTCACGTGCGTTTGTTTATGTAAATACAGAGCAGCCCTATTTTTTTTATGTTTACTCAATGATATCATCTCTCATTGGGCCCACACCTGCCTACAACAACAAGCGTGTCCTCACATTCAACCTCTGTCCTCAAGGAAAATGTTTTTCCAGGCATAAAATAAACAAACGGCTCATTTGAATCGACGGTTTGGACTTCCACCTGCTTCCGACTCGCATCACAACTTTACGAACACTAAAAGAGTAACGGAGTATCTCATTCAGTATGGAGAAATGCACCATTTTAAGATTTTTTTTGTGCATATATTTTCACGTTAGAGCCTCAGACTTGATCAAGACAGTAAGTGTTTTCAGGGCGAAGCTGTGTATTTTTTTTTTTTTCCCTCACTAAAAGCTATCCGAAAATATTTCTCTCTCTTATTAAGGGAACACAGTTTTAAAATGTTTGGCTAGTTAAGTGGCTGACTACAAGCTCTACATGAGCAGATAACCTAGCTAATTAACCAGCTAGCGTTGGCTTCTAATTAAAAAAGACAGAGCAGCAAAATATACAACATTCTGCACATAGGTGGTTTTAAAAATGCAAATAATTTCTGAGATTTTTTTTTATTTTTGTTTAAATATGTTTTAAATAAATCAGTGTTGCGTCATTCTCTCCCTAACAGAAGGATTAATTCTTTCGAAAAAACATAAGCCTTCTCAAAACTAGTATTTTCATCGTAACAGATTTAATCAGACAGCAAAATCTATTGGTAATGAAACCATTAATTCACTACGGATTTTTATTTCTTATTTTTGCAAACAGCAACAATCCTGACAACAGTCCGTACAACTCAGAGGATTTCATCCTCAGAGGAAAACGATCCACCAGTCTGAACAGGATATTATTGGTCTCCGTCACGTCCACACGCAAGGCCTTACATAACTACATCACAAAAATATTTGAAAAGGAAAATCTTTAAGAGTCTCTCTGCAGACACACTCGCAAATCTTTGATTGCACCTTCCTGAACAGATGGCTGGTGGGAGTCGGGATTTCACTGAGCTCTTGGACAGATCCTTGCAGATTAAGATGTGATTGCTGTGGGTTGGATAAGGGAACAGACGTGACAACTGAAGGAGACCGGGGCTTTTTTTTTTTTTTTTTTATTGTTTTTAGCCCACATTCCTCCAGGCTCTCCAAATCGCTGTGGTCGGTGAGGTTTGCTAATTCAGCCAGGAGACGACAGGGAATTAATCCCTGCTGTTTGACCATTGACGCCTCTCGTGTCGGGCGAGCGAAAGAGGAATATTGACAGAGCATCGAGCTGTCACAACACGCAGTGGAAAACCCGGAGGGAAGCACTGCTCAGCGCGATAAGCACGGCAGCTAGCGTTAAGGCAGCTCCCCAGCAGCCAGACGTGTTAAAACTCGGCACAGCTGCCTGCTGCAGCAAAGTACCCGCACACTGAGGCAGGAAACACGACGCGTTCAACTTCAAAATAAAAGCAATTTGACAGCTATTTAGAAAATACGATTCCTAACAAACTCGCGTATTATTCATGTCTGTAGTACTGAGCTATTTTATCGAAGTTATGGCAGCAATTTCTACCGTGGTCAGGCTTTAAATTAAGAATTTGCAGAAAACCAAGGACTGTAAAAAATAGGAAATAAAGGAATGGGGTGGAAAGACGAAAGAATGGACGGGAAAAAAAGTACTGAAGTCATATTCCATACTTTTGCAGAACTGTCTGTGGAAATCACGAACTCAAAAGAAGAGTTAATCAATTATTTAACAAATTGGTCAACATTTAGGTTATTTTAGTAAAAATAAACTAGTGGAAAGACCTGAAATAGGTCATTTTAAAGAAATTATTTGTTGAGAATATGATTTGAACTCAATCATAATTAAAATATAAGAACTATGAGTCTTTAGTAAATATAAACCGTAACCTCAACGTTACGGACTGTTTCAGACTTCTTAATAATTCTACCTTATTTTATTATTTTAATTCCACCGGAAGTAGATTATGTCTGTGTCGGTTAGAATGACGCATTTACAAAACACGGAGGGTGTAACAGATGCTAGGCTAGCAGGCTAACGCTCAACAATCTCCAATATCACTTTTCATGAAAACCCCTAAAAACCTCCTGCCTGTTTCCAATGCGGCATTAAGCCGCAAAAGCCAAACCGGAAGCAGCTCGTTCGTACGGAACCATAACAACTCACCATAATTGTAGAGTTAAGAAATCTCCCTGAAGCCGCAGCTGCTGTTCTGAATGGCAGAAACGCTGTCAGTGTTTTTTCTCTTTACTTCCCATCATCCTGTGACTGGTTTGACCAATCCCTCACAGGCTCCCCCTTCCTTCACAACATGCTCTGCAAGAGCAAATATCACAAAGTCTAGTAACAATCAAATACGTATAGTTCATTTCATTGGCCATTTTAGAACTTCTTTCAGTAGTTGCTACAGCTCATTATTATTTCTTATATGCTAAGCAATTTGAACATATGCTGCATTGTCTTTAAAAATAATGTTGTTTTTAAAAAAATCAAATTTAATCTTTATTGTACTTTTTTCAAATATATAAAAAATCAACATGTTGATTATTTTACGTTTTTCTTGCATGAAACTTGAATAACTAAAATACTTTTTTAAAATCCCTTCTTTGGTGAAGCACACAAGGTCTAAGTCCAATTAAAACAAAAATAATTTAAAATCATGATCACATTTTTACTGTTGCCCCATGCTTGCTGGGGATGGGAGACAGCATGTAACTGGATGGAACTGGACTCAATAGATTCAATATGAACATGACTGAAATAAACTGATTAATTGGAACATTTGAAGGGTTGATGTTTCTTTTTATTTTTAATGTATTTATTTTTGCAGTGATTATTATTATTCGTTGTTGTATTTGTAGGCGTAGTGGTATTATAATTAGACATGTAAAATTTAAAGGGAGAGTTAGAATTTGGGTATTATTGGACATTTTACATGTGAAAAACAAATTGCTTGTATTTATCATTTTTCTAGAAATACACATTTATTATTTTAATTACTGAGTTAAGACGTAAGCGGAAATATAATACATCATTTATTTATTTTGTGTCAAGTAAAATTAGAGTGTGACATTTACTAATACTGAAACTGTTTTTTGTTTATTTATCATGTGTTTATTTTTTTTTTCTATTTTTAGAAAAAAAAAGAATACATTAGAGGAAATAACACTTAGGTTAAATAATAAATTCCCCCATTTTCGATTTCCACAGGAGATGTAAATAAAAAGCGGATGTGTGTGTTTTTGCACCGGAACTCGCCCGTGCGCGAGCTTCCTTTCCAGGAGTTGTAGTTTTTCTTAGCAGAACCAACGTTAGCTTCCAGTTTTGAGCCTCGTCAGGCCAAAGCAGTTGGCTAACTGGGTTTTTCGGAGCTGTAGAAACCATCGCAGTTTCCTGTTGTCGTTCAAGCAGAGCCTAGCTTCCGACCAGGTATCGTAAAACATCAACTTTCACTGTTTATTTATTCTCTCACCACGAATGTAGACCTAACAAACCTAAACTAACAGCTAGCTGGGGTTAGCTAGATTGCTAGCCAACTCTGTACCATCAGTAGTTTAAACATTTCAAAACAAATGCGTCCCCCTCTAGATAATGAGGCAAAGTACCGTTTTTGTTATCGCTGTGGTATATTAATTTTTTTCAGTAATGTTGAGTTATTTTCAGTGTGTCGTAATGGACTTTGTGAATCATCATTCCAGGGTGGAAACATTTACTCAGAGACTCTTGGAACTGCCCAGAGACATTTTACAGCTTGATAAAATATGTTGGAAGTACTCAATAAAACTGATCAAAGTTGTTTCCTGTTCTGTTTTAGATCATGGCAGATTTCTCGGTGAGTTTAATGTATCGATTCCCTGTAGCTTGCAGTGGAAATTACCTGTATGTTTGTTTTTTGTTGTTGTTGTGAGTGCAGACGGTTGTTTATACTTTCTCTTTTTATTTTGTAGCTGTCAGATGCTTTAGGAGATGACACGCCGAGCCAGGCTAAGAAAATAGGCCACACTAACCCTACGGCCCCTGCCAGCAATCACCCTGCCGCTCCGAACCCGGGATGGCCCGGTTCTGCCCCAGGAGCTCCCACCCAGCCCTCTGCTCCAGCTGACTTCAGCGGTGGATTATCTGGCCCAGGAGCCCCGGGGCCATTCCAGTACCCCTCTGGCCCTGGAGCACCAGGGCAGTACCCGGGACCTCCCTCAGCACCCGGTGGCTTCCCTGCTGGTCCTGGAGTACCTGGACAGTATCCTGCACCGGGAGCTCCGGGTCAGTTTCCCTCCAGCCCCGGAGCGCCTGGACAGTTCCCCGGGCAGTATCCATCTGAAGGAACTCCTGGACAGCTGCCCGGGGGCCCCGCTCCTTACCCATCGGGGCCGTTTCCTTCTGGCCCCGGCGCTCCGGCCGGCCCTTACCCGAACGTGCCTTTCCCTGGTGGCCAGCCAGCAGGAGGCAACGGGATGTACGGACCCGGGGGTCAAGGTGGATTTCCCCCTCCAGCCGGTCCAGGATCTTTCCCAGCGTTCCCCGGAGGCGGATTCCCCCCGATACCACCCGGGTCGTGGGGATCACCCGGAGGAGGTTTCCCGACCCCGCCTGCTCAGTTTGGTCCCGGGCCCACGGGTCCGTACGGTGGTCCTGCTGGTCCAGGAGGCACATTGGTGAGTGTGAGCTCTTTCTGGAGTAAATGTGTCGCTTCTCTTGCTCGCTACTCTGCTCTTCTGTAAATCTAATCCGGGCGTTTTGGTGAAAACAACTCAAGCTTTCTCGGACTAAAAGTTAACTTCTCTCCGTCTGCTGGTGACCTTTGACTGGGAGGTGCGTCTGATTCCGGGTTTCTGCTCGGGGTGCGCCGCAAATGCAAAGTTAACGGCAACGCCCTGTTCAGCAGGAGTGAACAGAAATGTATTTCTGTCTTTCAGCCCAGATATAACCCGCCGTATTATTGAAAGCAATGAGCTCAGCTTTTCAGCCGGACCAGGACGTCCCACCTGATCGGCGCCAAAGATCGAACGCATCCGCATCGACGAGTCGTGTTGGAACGCAGCGTTAAATGCATCAGATTTAATTGTTTTGGTTTTTGTTTTGTTTCAAAGTGCAATATGATTTTCTTTGATTTACAAATAATGTTACCAGGTCTATGCTGCTTTAATCTACTTGTATAATCTAGTCAGATGCTGCTCTGACTTGTCCCTCGCATGAATGAGTTTCAATAAAAACCCTTTCACTGTTGCTCAGACTTCAGTTTGTGCAGGTGTTTGACCTTCGTTGAAATACGCGGAGATTATGACTCACTCAGGTGTTGCATTGGGAATATAGGCAGAGTCAGAATTTAAGTTCATATTTTTTTAATCTTGTCAATAATTTAAAAGTACCTGGATTACACCTACGGGATATTAACAAGCGGGTAAACAATTTCTCTTTGTATCACATCATTCAAGAGCAAAAAAACAAACGCAAAAAGCATTCTGAAAACTGTGGAGCAGAGGCAACGCTGTCAGTATTTACACTGTAAATATTTCTTTTCAGATTGTGCCGTACGATCTCCCACTCCACGCTGGGATTATGCCGCGCCTTTTAGTCACGGTGATCGGAGAGCCAGTTCCCGGGGCAGACAGGTACGGATTTCCCCGGGAAGAAAAAAACAATCCTCGCAGTCTGTGTTTGAAGTCGCGATGCGCTTCAGAAAGTAATGTGAATGTGAAGTGGATCTGTGCTGTTTAACTCGGTTATGTGAAAGTGTTTGCACTTTGTCTCGTTACAGCCACAAGCGTCAGTGTATTTTATTGGGATTTCGTGATGATCTGATATGAGTTTGATGAAAAATTTAACAATCGAAGTTTATCTTTATGTAATTTATAAACTCTTCAGGTTCCAGGTTGACTTCCTTAAAGGTCCGGATGTCGTCTTTCACTTCAACCCTCGCTTCAACGAGCAGACCATCGTCCGAAACTCCAGCCTAGGAGGTTACTGGGGCCCGGAGGAGCGAGAGGGGCCCTTCCCCTTCGTCCAGGGGCGCCGTTTTGAGGTAAGTTCTTTATTAAATCCCTTAACAATTTAATGAATGTAAATAAATAAATATTAATACAATAAATATATCTTTTTTTATGTCTTACTATAATCTGGTAAAAGTCTCGATTTACTGTGCAGAAATACGAGGCAGTAATTACAAAACTACACTACAGGCATTAATAATGTTACAAAAAAGGAGCAATAAGAAAAATCCATAAGTTGGGATATTAAAAAAAGAAACACCAACAGATATTTGTAAAATTTTAAATCGTTAAAGTTCATCGACGTAGTAAAACTACAGATGGCTCTGATTTTTTTTTTTTTTTTTGCATAGCCAAAAATAAACAAACATCAGAAAACATTAGAAAAATGTTTAAGATGAAGAAGCAAATATACAAGAATCACAGTTTAAAATGAATTTTTAATAGAGATAAACATATGAGTAAGAGAAAGTAATAATGTGTGCATTGATGAGAACAACTTGGGGTAAGGGTTTGAAAAGACAAACCAGTATAAAAAGAGATAATGCATAGCTATATATTAGTAATTGCTGACAGCTACTCTGACTTTTAATTGATTGATGATTTCCTTTTTTCTTTTTCTTTTTTTTTAAAATAACAGTAGTATTGTAAGTTTTCAAGTGTTTAGGGGGTAGGAGTTAATAAGTTTTTACTTCTTCCTACCCATTTTGAGCATGATATGTTAACTGAAACAGATATCTGTATTTTTTTTTTCTTTTCTTCTTTTCTATTCACTTTTCTTATTGTGTACTATATTACTTTTTATATTGTATCATGTTCGAAATAAATTTCAAATTCATAGCTACTAGAAAGTCCTTTTGTGCGTCGATGAGCGGAGTTGAACTGTGGAATCATTTGGAAATTGACAATGTCCAAACATAAAACTTTTCAAACTATCATACAAACATATGATTATGGCTAGGAGATTTTAAGAAATAATGATTGTTTTTCAAATTAAATAGATACAATATTGGTAGATGGACTGAACTTACATAACGCTTGACATATTTTAGGCTTCCACCCAATCCCTTGAATATGCAAAACAAAAGTTTTGACATTATGGCTTCATCCTGCATTTTATTTTGTTTGCTTGTTCAAAGAATGAACAAGCTGGACATATAATTTTTATTTTGTTGTTGTTGTGTCAAGCAAACATTGCACATTTTTGAAGCACCAATCTCGCATTTCACAAACTCCAAACGTAGTTTCTAATCCATCTGATACAGAAACTAAGGTTTTCCCAGTTTTTTATATATTTTTTTGATTGTTTTTGATTGTTTTGTTGTTGTTGTTTTTATTGCGCACGCCAATGTTCTGTGCACGTTCATGTTCAGAACGCCCGGCTTCCAAACTGTTTTCGTCGCAGCAGAGTAAATAAAAGAATTGACCCAAGCAAATCTCGGTGTTTGTCGCCCCCATCTCGCAGCTGAAGATCCTGGTGGAGGAGGACATGTTCAAGGTGGCCGTGGACGGGACCCACCTGCTGGAGTACGAGCACAGAGTGGGCGGCCTGGAGGAGGTGACCGTGCTGCGGGTCACCGGCGACGTCGTCCTCTACAGCGCGGCGCCCAGCATGATCTGAGCAGCCCCGGCCGCTCGCTTGCTCGCTCTCGAAACGATTAGCCTCCGCGTTTCTGACGACCGCCTGCCCCAAAGCCCCTCCCCCTCAAACACACGGAGGCAGCTGACGAAGTTGCAAGTGCGGCCAGCAAAGTGCAATTGTCCCTCACGTGGCACATTTTATCGCAACGCAGATCGAATTAGGTTCGCACTTGATAATCCTGTTTTTTTTGTGTGTGTTTTTTTTTTCCTACTGAATGAGATCTCAATACAAAATTATGTTTTCACTTTCCTCTTAGAAAAATGTATGAACTGCTTTGCATTTTTTGTTTCCCTGTTTTTTTTTTTTCCCATTTCTAATTAAGGAAAAGATTGAGTGACATAAACGTGTAACAAATTAAATAAGGAATAATTTATTATGTGAAAAAAAAAGAAGATTGTAAGCTAAGCAGGGTGGAAGACATGTTCCAGACGTTTCATATTATTTCTGCAGTGTTTTGTTTACATGTTTATTATTTCGTCACAACATAACTTGACGAGCCTTCATAGTGCATCAAAGTGCGATGCTGAAAATTTCACTTTTATTTCAATGCTGAACCACGACCCTCCGGAGTCACACACACATATCTATATATATATATATATATATATATATATATAGTAGGCTAATCATGAAGTTTCTTCAAATGTAAGTATTTATATTCAGTGTTTGTTCCTCTTCTCTTCAGCTGTTTTCCTCCCGAGCCGTTAACGTTTCCCCAAGTTTGAACAAAACAGCGAAAAAATGGCAACTAATTATTAAATGAAAATGTGTGTGGGAGAGATTCTGACTTGGTGCCAAAGAGAAGTGGTACATATTTTGAATTTCTAAATAAAAGGACTATGTAAAACTTTCAACTTGTGAGCTATCAGTTCTTATTTTTTTTTATTTATTTATTTATTTTTAGTGATTAGATTGTTGGACATATCTGACTTAGATTATTTTTTATGAAACTAGTCTGTTTTTTGTTTTTTTTTACTTTACAATATACATATTAGTAAAATTTTAATTCAGTCATACATGAATAATGAATAATAAAAAATAACTTTCACTGGATTAGCATCTCATTTCTTCTAGCTGCCATATTTGACTTTTTTTTCCTTTTGTGTTGGTCACTAGAAACTTCACAAAAAGATACAATTTTTCTTCCACTTGTGTTTTTTTCATATGTTTGAGCTTATTAGCCCTAATATTTTTGTTCAAATGTTTGGATAGTTTGTATATACAATGTTAAGACTCTTAAAAATAAGACTCTTTGATACATTTTTTTGGAGTCCAAGGCAAAAAAAAACCCAACTTGAAATGAGTTCATCAAATAACAGCTTTTATTTGATCATATTTATTCAATGAGTTTTTAACAAAAACTATATTAGGAGAACATTGTTTTTAATAAAATTAGTGAGGATGTAGTTATGAATTTAACTTTTTTATTTGTTTTTATTTATGCTTGAAATGAGCCAATAACTGTCTAGGAATCTTTTGTTTTCCTTACAACAGAGATATGAAATTACAGAGAAGTCCACTCACAACTGTGATGGACAGCATAATCAAATTAAAGGTTAGATTATTCAAATATATTCAGTATGTGTCTGTCCTACTTTTGTGAAAGATTATTTTTTTTGGGGGTGCCAATTAATTTTGTCTGTGTCTGGATGAGGAAGAAAAGGGCATACGTTGTGTACAAACAAACTACATAGTAGCTCTGATATGTCTGCTGATTTCGGAGCTCTGAACACATCGTAATGCTGGCTTCGGTTTAACTTTGTTGCAAATTTCAGTAAATGTCATTTTACAGGCATCGACGTTTGTTTTGCTTTAAATTTCATTCAAAGGTCAGCCTGCAGTTCTTTGTTTTCCCGTCAGGGGGCAGCAGTTATACATAACCCTACCGCAGCGGACGAAGCAAAATCGAAACTCTTCAATGAGTCCACCTTCAGAGAAATAGTTTTGTTTGGTTTTTTATTTTTTATTTTAATCCTTTGCAGTCTTGGCAAAAATGAACGGGTCGTTGCACTCCCGCCCAAGACTTGTGGATATAAATCTGAACCGAGGACCCGCAGGTAAGGAGAAGACTTTGTCGGACAGTTAGCAAACCGTGTTGGCGATGCTAGCTGACTACGTTGCACCGAAAAAAAGAAAAAAAAAAAAAATCAATCTGCTACGCAACCTGGAGCTAAAGGCTAATTAATCTAGAAAGTCGAACCACTTCGTCTCGTTGTGTCAAAGTTGTTATTTGCTTATGGAAGCTGCCAGAGTTTCAGTTTAATACATCGGAAATGACAGACTTAGCAAAAAAAGGGGTTTTTCTTTCCATTAAGAAAAGAAGCATTACTCCACTTGTGTCCGTGTGAAGCCAGTTGGTTAATATTTACAGCTGCGACATAAGGCTGAATTGTTTAAAACTTTGTAATATGGTGCTTCCTCACTATTCGCCTGAACTTTGATCCACTGAGATACATTTAATGATCAGCATCTTCCTTGGCTAACAGCTACACTCGATGTTTACTGCTTATCAGCCCAGCTGATTGATTTTATGTGTTTGTGTTTGCTTTCTATTTTCTCTAGGTCTGGGGTTTAATATAATCGGAGGCATCGACCAACAATTTGTCAGGAATGACAATGGCGTCTATGTTAGTAAAATTAAAGAAGGTGGATCTGCAGCACTAGATGGACGACTCGAAGAGGGAGACAAGATTCTTGCGGTAATATATGTATATATTTTTTAAGTACTTAAAATTTTTCACGTTACGGTCAGAAACCTAGGTTTATTCTGTTGGGAGAGAAACGTAAACTTGTGCATAGTTGTAAAAATGGCAGGAAAGTGATAAAATTGCCAAACTATTTTATCTCCATTTCATTTTCCCCCCTTTTTCCCCCCCAAAGTTTTAGGATACCTGAAGTTTTATCAGATTAGGTGGAGAACATGTTTTCACAAGTCTGGCCAAAGATGCTCCATATTCCAGAGTTAAGCCCGGGCAATTTTACCACATGAATATTGCTTGGTGGTTAAGTTGTTTTTCTAATTTATTTTTTCAAGAATAGCAAAATTGTGTTCATCATGACTGATTTTTTTTTTTCTTTTTAAGCAGCAAATGTGTGAAAAGTCCAAGTGGGTGAATACTTTTTATAGACACTGTAAGTTGCGCAGGTTCCCCCCCCCGCCCCCTTACTTTTCAAAACCGTGCATCGTGGAGGGCATTAGTATTTCTGAAAATCGAGTAGTTTGACCTAAAAGTGAAACTAATAATTAACTGCTGTCTGGCTACATAGATATTTGATCAGAGCGTTCTGTGTTTGTCATGTGGGCGTTGCAGATTAACGGAGTCTCGCTTGAGAACCGGTACCACAGCGACGTGGTGGAGCTGTTCAGGTCAGCCGGGGAGAACGTCCACCTCCGCGTTATGAAAAAGGTAGCTGGAAATATTACGATTTTTCTGTTTTTGTTTTTCTTTCCTTACTTTTTACATATTCTTTGTAGATGTAACTCCACTATCTCTCCTCTTTTATCCAAACAACCCATTTAGTCATACTTGAGTAAAAATGTATGTGGCTCTATGTTACACAGAAACTTGTTCTAATTGCTTCCACATCCAATAATGCTTTAAAAACATCTCTATTTTTGATGTGTTTTTTTTTTTTTTCCAAAAATAACAGAAAATGGCAGAAAAAATACAAATTGGTTAAAAAAAATGCATTTGTCCTTAATGAGTGAAGCAGTGTTACAGAAATTAAACAGAGTTCCAAAATCAGTTTAAAGAGCGACTTTACATGTTATTTATTTCTTGCCCATCCCTGTTTCTATGTGATTTTTTTTGTTTCCCCCTCCAGTTCAGCTCTGTTTTACCTGTGTTTTTTTTTCTCTCTGTCTTGCAGTCTGACCTAAGTAACGGACCAGCCACCTCCAAACCTGATCGCCAACCTTCCTCGTCTACTCTGGGAATGCTGGCGTTATTTGCTGGAGCCGTGTCGATCATTGTTATAGTAGCTCTTTATAAACGGCTTAAATAGACTTTTTTTTTAGTATATATGTATTATGTATCTAAGCTGACGATGTCTGTATGTTTGGTTTTAGAATCAAAACTTTGCTAATTGCCAAAAAAAAAAAAAAAAGATAAAGAAGCAGGCGGTGTGTGAACGGTAGACCTTTTTCTGATTGGCAGGTAATGGCATCACGATTTAGTTTACTTCCATATTCGTGCATGTTCAGTGATTCAATGGTAGCCATCTTCTTATCGTCTGGGTTATCTCATGCAAAGAAATTTGTGCCGTATTGAGGTAAAGGGTTCCCGCCCGCTGCGTCCTCAGTGTTCAGACCAACTCCTACAAGATAATCGTAAGACACAAACCAGGGTTTGTACATTCAAACCCACCTGGGAAAAAAAAAAAGAAAAATCTGAGATGACTCGAGGGACTACTTTTAGCTGCGGATGAAGATGCATTGCTTTTTAGTGTCCCCCCCCCATCTCGTTTTGTCGTTTAAAATTTTAACGGTTTTAAATGACAGTGTGGCTCTGTAAGCTAAAGTATCCCAGTTATTCTTCATCGGGTCAGTGTCTCATGCGTTCAGGCCAGTTTATCTTGGCCTTTAAGTAGACCAATTCAGGAAAGGTGTACTTGCCATTGCCGCCGGTGAGGCGTTCAGGAAGCCTCGGTCACTTCTGCACCGGCTTTCTGTCAGTTGTAAACGTGACAGTGCTCCATAGATTCTCCGAGGGGTTTAGGTGAGCCAAGTTTCCCGACCAAACAAGCACATTTTGGTCCTCAAAGCAGGTGTTTGTGCTTTTCTCAGTTGCTCGTGTGGCATTTTCCACCACATGTTTTCCTTCCATTTAACATTCTATCAGTTACTCTTGGATTCTGTGCTCTGTGTATGTTACTATTCAACATTGAGAATTCTGGGTTTTCATCAGCTGTAGACCATGATCGTTGAAATTGGCATCAATTGTTCAAATATATCACTTTGAGTAATAGATTTTAAGAGTTTCACTTTCTGTATTGATCTATGGATTTAAGCTTTTTAGTAATCTAATCTGCTGAGATGCACTTTCCTCCCTCACATCATTAGGTGGTGCTCTAATCACTCATTAAGTCCAGCTTTTGCAGACATAATTCAGTAATAAAAAGTATATATATATAGCATATATATCTGATTTATTTCTGAAATGGAGATTCAAAGGGAAAGGGATTTAATTTTTTTGTTTGTTCCAGTATGAGCAGTTTGTTTTCATTCATGACTCAGACTAATAGCAGTGTTGCAATTAACTCACTACTTTTACATTTTGCACTAAAGCAACAATCATGGAGATTTTCCGATCGCAGTTATGAAACAGGTTTGAACAGAAATTGATATTTGTTTGTTTTTTCTTCTTTTGGTCACAACAATCACATCACCATCTCTATATGTGGCTAATTGTGTGTAAATACATTTCTGCTATGAGACACTGTGAATATGTGCAGTATGCCAGAAAAGAAAATCACAAGCACGAAGTTATGCCAATATTCTGTTTGAGATGCAGACATGTAATAAAAGGTGTTTAATTCACCTATGTTTACTGCTTTATTTCCATTTTTCAGCAGTATTTTGAGATATACTTGTTTTGTTGTTTATTATTGATTTAAAGTAAAAGTTATAGTAATATATGAGCTTTGACATTCATTCATACGTTCCACTTTTTAAAAAAAAGACTAACAGGATTTTTACTTACTCTCTCAAAGATGTTTGCTGATCAAGTAGTAAAACTTAAGTATTTGGGAATAAACTGCTAAATTTAATCCTGCGTTTGCTAGCAACTTTCAGAAAAAGCTACTTGTTTATTAAAAACCAACTAAGTCAAAACGAATTAATTTGATTTTAAATTTATTTAATAGGGACAGGCACATCAACATAGACGAACTAAATAGAACAGCAGTTTGCATCAAAGTGCTTGTAGCACAAGTTAATTCCAGATTGTCTAAATAAAAGTTGGTGGCCTGGTTTGATATGGCTTCTGTCCAGGGCGGCATCATGTGGAGGGCGCAGTTCAGCATAAAATGAAAATGTAAAATTCTTCAAGTTTTTCAAATAAAACAGCATAACAGTTATTTTTGTTATATCCATTGTTTTTTTTTTAAATGTTTCTCTATTTCTTACTATTTCAGCACGTCTTATAATATACAATAAAAAGCGAATATCTAATAGAATTTGTATTATTTCAGGGGCCATATATTTAAAAAAAAAAAAAACGAAGAGGAAATTTGACTGAATTTCCCCACAGAGCTGATTGTCTGATTGAAACAAACGGCGCCTTTTGTGGCCAAATGTGCTGCTGGCCTCCCACCAGCGGCTCAGGCTCCCATCAGCTGTTTGGAGGATGGCTCGGAGGCAGAAATGATGTAATCAAGCAGAGAGGCAGAGCCAGAGCTGGGTCCAAGCCGCGCGACACGGACGCATCTCCGCTGCGAGGAAACGCGCTCGAGAGCCCCCCTCATGGAGCCGGTGAACGAGGGAGCAGGTCGGCATCGGCGGAGGCGTCATGTCGCAGGGGTTGTTTGAGCCGCTCGTCCTTTCTCCTCCCAGGAAAGAGAGGGTTCTGGATGCGGTCCAGCGGCACCACCTCCAGCACCGGCCCGGAGATGCTCGCTGGTGAAATTCCCTATCCGCGGTTGTAGATGTAATTAACCGCCTGTGCGGGCCAGCAGTCCTCTCCCGCTCCTGCTCCGGCATCGGCCGAGTGGAAATGCTCCTATCACCGCCTCCTTCGTCGACAACATCAGGCCGCTCATGTTGTCGCTTTCTCGCCCACGATGATGACAGGAGGGCGCCCGCTTCGGGTTTCACCACATGCAGGCCCCTTTTTTTTTTCTTTTACTCCTCTTACGGATCACAGAATCGGCTCTGATCTGATGTATTAGGAAGAACTAGTTGCCATTTTTTTATTTTCATTTTTGCTTAATCACATCTACTGCCGCGATCAATTTTCTTTTGTGTGTGTGTTTTTCCCCCCTGACGTCCGGAGATGATTGCGGTGTCCGGGCAGTAGCTGTTCCTCAGCGGGGGGGAAATGAGCTGAAGCCTGTCCGCAGCAATCCACCGTGAGCCCCGGTGACTTTACAGGAGCGTGGGGGGTGCTGACCGTCTGATACAGCGTGGGGTTAAGGATCGTTTGTCCTTCCAGCTCAGGTTTGAACCATGGCCAATGAACCTGTGATCCTTAACGTGTATGACATGGTAAGCACAGCGCTCACCTCATACATGCTACACCTTGACTTACTCACACTTATTTTGGTTGTGGGAAAACTCATGTAATAACATAAATAGATGAACTGTTCCACTTGACCATTTTACAAGCAACATCACAGTAGTTTAATGTCATTTGATATACTTAAAGTGGCAAAGGAAAACGATAGATCTGAGAAGTGTGATGTGCATTTATTCCCACTATGACAAGTCTTCAGAATTCGTCTAATGAACCATTTAATCTCAGGAGTTGATGAAGGTCTCAGGAGTTTGTCAAGAGAACATCAATGGACAATCAATGTCATGAAGGCCAGCCATAGCAGAAAGTTGTGCGGGAGTTTTAACCTTAAAGCATCCCATCGCAATTGCAAAAACAATAGCAAAGTTTAGGTGGGAAAATCTGTCAGGATGAACAAAGTGGCCTGCAGACATTAATCTAATTGAGAATCCATGGACAGACTTGAAAACTGATGTTCTTATATGCATGTTGTCTATCTCATCTAACTGAGTTGGAGGCATTTTTAAAAGAACGGCAAAAATGTTGCACAGATATACACAAAACCCATTCAATCAACTGTAGTCTTATTGAAAAATCCATTTATTTCAGGAACTTAATCACTAGTTGGATGTTTGAAAGCCTTTATTTCTGCTAGTCATGATTTTTCCAACTTACAGCTAATACGAAACACAATTCTTAAAAGTAGAATATTACATCAGGCCAATTAAAAATACATTTTTAATATAGAAATGTTGGCTAAATGAAAAGTGTACTTAAAAGGTGCTTTTATCCTGATAAACCAGTCTCATCAGAATGCTTACTATAATTTTCTTGAATATGATTTTACAATTCCACAAAATCAGACTTTAATGTTTAAAACTGTGTCGTTTTCCTTAGTGTAATTCGATCACATAAACCCCCTTCGAAGTTTAATAGAGGTTGTGGTTGTGACGTCAAAATAAAAGAGAAAGAATTTATGGGACAAGAATCTTGTTAAACATTATTCTATCTTCTTTTTTTCTTCTTTTTTTGTTAGATGGTTTTAAAATGTCACGCAGTCTTAAAACAAAACACAAGACTACAGGGTGGAAACGGCCCAGTTGAAAACCGTGAAACGTCTCACGGACTGAGGAAAGTCTTACCGACCGTCCTCTCTTTCTTCGAGTTCATTCACAAGAAAGCGGAGAAGACGTATTGAAAAAAAAAAGCCTATTTATACTCTGAGCTCGAAGCTGTGAAACTTGATTCTCTGTAGGCTCTCTGACCTCTGCTGCTGCATCCTCAGTCCTACGGGCGCGACTCAAAGACAAGGGTCTTCCTTCAGACCTGAATGCACCTCTTGCTTTTCACATTCTGTCCCGCTTGGCGGATCATATGCATGAGTTACAGCCTGTCATTGCAGCAGCTGCTTAATTTTCTGCAAATCAGTACGATTGGATGATGATTCAAAAAAGAGAAAATATGATTTGAAGCATCTATCGACAATGCCTGTAAAGAATCTTTTATATGTATTTACATCCACCGACACAACTAGCATGTAGCATTGTAGCTACGTAGAGAAACAGCTGCGTCGCAAGTGATTAATCAGTGCACAGCTTGAATAAACTGTAGATAGGTGGTGTTTGATTGTACAATATGGGATATGGGCAGTTACTCAGGGCTGCATTAGAAAGGGGGCATTAAAAATATAACTTATCAGTTGTGTTTTTTACAAGTTTTCTGTTGCTTTCATGCACAAGAAGTCAATGCATAGTTAGGATCCCCCTGCTTGGTGCTGAGAAAAAAGAGGCCATTTTAGGTTATTTGGTCATTTTTGATTGGCTTTGGGGCAGCAGGAGGAGGGGCTTACCCAGGACACTGTTTTTGCAAGAACCTCCACCGCCTCCATCCCACAGACAACCTGTTAGTGGAGCTGTGAATGTTATAGGAGAAAACTAACAGGTGGCCTATTGGCACAAGTTAGCACAATGATTGAGCTATCTGTGATTTTGTTAAAAAAAATGCGAAAGAAAAATGTGTATATCTTAGTGTGGGATTCTCATCCTTCATTGAAGAAATGTACTCCAAGTAAACGTTGGCTTTTTTACACTTCTTTACCAGACATATTTTTAGCATTGGATACTTTCTGACAGTAAGGGTCTCGGTACGTCACCAGGTGTAACAGTGACTCTCAAACGGCCAGATTAATTTCTAACCAACTGGTTACATTGGGAAAAAGAAAAAAAAAAAAGTAATCACGGGGGCGGCGGCAGTCAAATTCCTCCACAAAAATTTACACAAGAATAATAAAAGAAGGCAGCGGGAGTGAGTCACACCAGAAGGGAGGAAGATGAACTGATTGACAACAAAGGGACCAGCAAGGCATGTGAAAACAAGAGTGACAAGAGTGGAAAAAGGCTCCACTGTCTTTGCGTTCCATTGTGAGAGTCAGGCATGACGGATTTACCACGGTCCTAGAAAATGTTCGCCGCGTTATGTTGTTTTCCTGTGTGGAAGCCGAGAGTTGAGTGTTCCCGATGCATTCCAGGTCTAAAACCAGCAGAGAGCCTACGGAGCGTATGGTGGAGAAACAAGATGAGACTCAGCTGACACAAAGTAATGCCGTGGGAATGCTCTAATAGCGTGACCATGGGACCGGAAATGTGTTTTATTATTGATAAGAGGCAGCTGGGGCAACTCTTAGCATGTTTTCTCATGGTGCCTAACAATATGGATGCATCAGCGGGTGGGGCAGCTGCTGTATTTCCATGAATTATCTCCTAGCTGTCCATAGAGAGAGGTCAGGAAGTAATGGCTGCCCATCTTTTGTAACTCACTGTAAATCGTTGACATGAAGGATCCATCAGTGGGGGTTTTCTGCTTAGTGTTTTCCAGAAATACTCTGTTACTACTAGTAAATATGTTATAGGTTAACACTCATTTTAACTCTGAGTGCCAGTGAGTCTTTGCCTCCTACAGATTTCTTCTGGTTTCGCTTCCTTCGTCAGCCTTAAATCACTATGATCTTCGATCAGATCTTAATGTTGAGACCAAGCTTACCGAGTAAATATGAAAAGAACTTTAAACGATTATTTCATTTATCAAAATAAATAATCTGTTAAATTAACCAGACCCTATGTGAAAAATAAAGTGAAATTGTGACAGTTTTTTCTGAGTTCAGTTTTACTGACTAGATTAGACCCAAACCCCAGATTAGCACAAAGTAGGATAAAAAATGTCACTGACATCAGTTTGGAAAGGATTACAAAGTCTTTGTAATCAAGTTTTGGCTCAGAGGGAATGCTAAGTTTTATCAAAATGTGGCAACCTTTTATCGACTACTTTAATTCCTCGAAGATGAGATTACACCAGACTAAATATAATGTGTTTTGTTTGTTTGTTTGTTTGTTTGTTTGTTTGTTTTGTCTCATTTTTGTTTGGGTCTGATCTTGGGATAGGGATTGATTATAAGCCGTTGTTTCAAATTGATATGTATTTTTTTTCTTGTATCTGCTAAGCCTCATATGTCAAACTGTATGTTAAAATTCATAAATCAAAATGAAGTTGTGGGGGAAAGAAATAAATTATGAGGTAATGGTAAGTTATCTGAAACTAACACATTGTATGACAGGATCTGACATGATGTCCTGCTCTGCACTCGCTACCAGTTGGTGGCGCTAATACACCCATTCGTTGTTTGCCAACCGCAAATAAACACTTAGAAAAAGATGCAACACGAGGCCCGTTGTCGGTAAAATACAAAATGCTTCGATTTGTCCAACCGGAACTTGTTGGCCAAAGCGAAGCATTTTGGATGTTACTGTTCTGATGTAGTTGAGGAAACGAGTCAAGAGCGAAATTTTTTAGAACGCAACTGTCACGCTAAAAACATTTGGAAGCTTTGACGTCGGTCACGTAATCTTATGCTTGCTCGCCCAGGTCCGTTTAAAAAATTGTTTTGTTTATTCGCAATACCTTAGACTTAGATTAATAAGTATTCTTAAGAATAAGCTTCATGAGCAAAAAGTACAATTTAACTTAGTCGAGTTACTTTGGTTAAATTTTAAGCACGGCATTTTTTTCAGTTTCTTGTAAAATCAGAATTTTACAGTAGAATATATGTTAGGGTTTCTACTCCAATTCGAAAGGGGGCGGTATTGCACTCTAAAATCTGTTTGCCAACCGCCTGTAAAGTAAAAGAGAAAGAATGTGCCTTTTTTTCCTCACCATAACAACAATGGCAGATGATTCTCCTGTTCTGTCTGTGCTTCTGCACCTTTTTAAGTTATTCGCCACCTTAAAACAGAATTTGCTCATTGTGGAACATTTATGCTGGCAGCGAAGGCGAATAAATTACATGCGTCAGCTCATATGCGCGCCTCTGCACAAGCGAAGGGTCACGAAAACACGGTTCTGGGTCCGACCAGGGAGAACAAGTCACTGGTGGGACGATTTTGAAAAGGGCGCTGTTGACGAATCGGCATGGATGGAAAACTTTCGGATGTCCAGAGAGTCCCTGGTGGCCCTTTCCGGGGAACTTCGTCCCTACTTAGAGGGCAAACAGACCAACATGAGATTACCGGTGGGGGTCCTGAAAAAGGTCGCCTGCACGTTATATTACTTGAGTGACGAAGGGAGAATCCGGAGAACAGCGAATACATTTGGCTTATCTCATTCGACTGTATCCGTAATTGTTAGGCAGACGTGCAAAGCCATCACAGAACACATGGGTCCACAGTATATAAAGCTCCCGTTCACCGAGCCCGAGGCAGAGGCGCTTGTGTTCGGATTTTTGCATGCTCATGGTATCCCTCAGTGCTTGGGGGCCATCGACGGGACCCACGTGGAAATTAAACAACCTTCGTGCAATTCCTTGGACTACCTGAACAAAAGGGGAACCTACTCCCTCAACATCCAAGCAGTGTGCGACTTCAAACACAGATTTATGGATGTCGTCATAAGGTGGCCTGGGAGTGTGGACGATGCACGGATCTTCGCCAACTCCAGAATAAACACACGCTTGAAGTCTGGTGAGATCCCAGTCCCGGAGAAGCTGATTGTGGAGGACGAAGGAGCCATACCTGTTTTTCTCCTGGGAGACTCCGCCTATCCTCTTCTGCCCTATTTGATGAAGGATTATCCCAATGATGGCTCTAGCCCTCAAGAGGAAAAGTTTGGACGTTGTGTCAGTAGAGCTCACAAAGTCATTGAACGTGCGTTTGGACGACTGAAGGCCAGGTTTGGGTCTCTTAGGCGGCCCATGGACATAAACATGATTGACTTGCCCCGTGTGATCTATGCATGCTTTGTCTTACACAACTACTGTGAGGCCATGGAAGAACCAGTGGATGAGGATCTTGTGTCCACAACAATGTACGCCAACCAACAAAGTCAGCCACCGACACAAACTAACACCAAACTCACAGAGTTTGGTGACGAGGAAGATGGAGAAAGAGTTAGACGAGTTGTTGCCAAGTTTCTTGATTCACTAGAAAGGATTTGACTCATGGTTTTGTGTTATTTTCCATACTTTTGTGTAACTGTTTCTGATTTATTGTTTAAATAAACAAGAGTTTGCTCATTTTTGCCTTTTATTTTTTCACACACTTTAGAAACAATGGCACAGTAGATATTTTTTAAAAGGTTGTGTGTAAATGAGTAGCATTCTTGAAGTGCCAGGGCTACATAAACATGACAAAAATCCAAAGTTTACTTTTATTGCATATTTCAGCAATAACGCAGCTTATAGAGTTTTATGTCAAAAAGGACAAAAAATGAAAAGAAAATATGAAAAACCTTATGAGTACATCCCGAGTGATGCAAAAGATTTGATGTAGCTAAATTGTAAAAAAAATCTATTTTTTATTACAATTTTATAATAAATACAAATTTAGGACCTAAAGGTAAAAATGTGTATGCTTTTTTATTTATTTATTTATTTTAACTCATTGCTCCAGGAATAGTAATGCATCAAAATCAGTGCTGTTGCTAGCTTTTGTTTTTTACATTAACCAGTGCTGTAACAAATACATCCAAAATATTCAACTATAGGTTGATAATATAGGTCTGAAGTTGTTGCACAGATTTGATATAAGGGAAGTGAAAAAAAAGTGTAGTGGCACATAATATAGCTGTAATATTGAAAACACTAAGGTAACAGAATCATAATGAGAAGAGAAAATTTGAGAGAGTGGTACGCTTGCAGTTTAGCAAATCACCAGGTTTTATAAACTAGTGAAGTCCTGCTCTTCCGTTGTGTCATCCAGCTGCAGACTTTGTTGGAATGATGTTGCTGGAAGTTGCCCTGGTTGCTGGGGAGGGAAGTGGACGGGCCAGGTGTGCTATGTGGAGCAGGAGTCTGCTAATCCAGATTAGGGCCGTTGCAGAGGGCCAGGTGTGCTGTCATAGAATGTTTATGAATCTGAAGAAGTAAAAATGTATTATTCTTCTGAAGTCTAGATCACAAAAAATAGTTTTAATATCCAAATCCTATTTTCTAACTGGTTTTTTTAATGGGTATTAGCTGCACTTTTCAATGTTAATTCCAAAATCAAGATGAACAGTTCTGTCTAGAATCAAAAGTTGGCTAAAGTTTATAGCTATCTATACTTAAATGTTTAGGAAATGTCAATCGACCGTTCAATTGAATCTAAAGAAAGTTTAATTTAGTAACACTATTACCTCTAACATTATTGTGTAACACAAATATTTCAACATAACATATATAAGAAGGCACCAATAATCCTTAAGTACAGGTCTTTAAATGAACTATTCTAGGATAAACTAATTCATAACTAGGAGGCTTAAGTTAAAACGTGCTAAAACATTTATCTCAACCACATTGTTTTGACCTTCTTCGTATTGGTGTGACAATACAAAGAAGGCGTATCTTCCAAAAATGTGAGTCTACACAGTTGACTCGAACCATTTCTCTTATTTAATCTGTGCCGTAAATGGCCGCTGCTACTGTCAGGCGTTGTGGGGTTTTGATTTAGGAGCTGGTATATCCCGCCTGTGCTTTTTCTGCATTATTTAAGGTGACAGGATGAGAGCATGTCTGTCGAGCTGCCGCACAGCTTCTGCTCCCTGACTCCGTCTTTCTCTCCTTGTTTTCTCCGCAGTACTGGATAAACGAATACACCTCCAATCTGGGCATTGGAGTCTTCCACTCAGGCATCGAGATTTATGGCAGAGGTAAGACAAGGACCGTCTTGATGTCTGTGAAATCCCATTAAGCGTCCCCGAGTCGAGGATGGCCCCGAGGCGACACGGAGCTGCGCTCGGTGACGGGCGTATAGTGAGATTTGTGCAATGGAGATGAAGTTTGGAGAAAAAAAAATGGAATATGGAATTGTACTCCGAATAGCATGACCCCGTTTCTCTTGGTTGAGTCACCACTGACTCACTCTGTGTTTATGTGTGTGCGTGCGTGTGTGTGTGGACTGAAATAGAGGGGCAGGATCCCTGGTGAAACTTGATCTCTGGAAATCCAGTATGCCCTTGGAACTGGACATATTGGCTCTGCGCACTGAGAAATATGGTGACAGTCTGGGGCCTGACTTTAGAAAGGGTTTACAGGAGCAGTAGACCAGGGCGCCATTTTTTTGAGAGAAGCAAAGACTTTTATTTTATTTATTCACTTTTTTTGTTTAATGAATGCTTACTTTTCCAAACATTGTACTTTATAGGCCCAAATCATGAGTTTTTTTTTATATCAATATTCAAGTATTTGAAAATTACAAAATTAATGTTGAATTATTTAGGAATAATATGGATTTATTAGCTATTAAGCATCAGTTCATACTTACTGATGTATTCTAGTAGGACTACCAATTAATGTACTTTAATTGATATTAATGAAAGAATTCTTCCTTTGTGGATTGGGCACCAAAGCTGGGTGCAGCCCAGGGCCCCACATCCTGGTAAATACACCCCTGGTGACAGTGAAGATATAACATAGGCTCTGTAGTTTGCTGTTGCTCTCTACTCTCTGTGCTCTAATGATAAGGATTAGAGCCCTGCATTCAAGCCAGCCCAAATTATTTAATTACAACATCCATGATTAATCGCTCTCTTCTCTGTAATTACAGAAGCGGGGGTCCTTTTTCTTCTTCTTCTTCTTTTGGAGGGCAACGTCTAATCTGTATTTTGCATCTTCTTCCTCTGCCCCGCAGAGTTCGCGTACGGCGGTCACCCCTACCCTTTCAGCGGCATCTTTGAAATCAACCCCGGTAACGCTGCGGAGCTGGGAGAGACCTTCAAATTCAAGTAAGCGCGCCTCCTTATTTCAGCACGTCGGAGTGCGCGCGCTCTGACGCCACACTGTTTATCTATTTCAAACAGGGAGGCCATTGTTTTGGGCACCACGGACTTCACAGAGGAGGACATAGATAAAATAATGGAGGAGCTCGGTAAAGAGTTCAAAGGGAACGCCTACCACCTAATGCACAAAAACTGCAACCACTTCTCCTCCTCGCTGTCTGAGGTCAGTCTGATGTAACGCTTTTCCTCCCAAAATGCTGCGAAGCAACACAGGAGAGACGTCGTAAAAATACCATGTACTGCATGTTTTCTGTATTGCGTTCTCTCTGTACACAAAGGCCTTTTTTTTTTTTTTTTTTTTTAGAAAAGAAGCAAACAAATAAAGACGGAAGCAAAATGCATATGCTACACAACACAAAACAGAACAAGTTTGTGCTTTTTGTGCAAAGAAAGATCGTTAGTTGTTAGGGCTGCAACTAACGATTATTTTTGGTAATCGATTATTCTGACAGTAAACGATTAATGAGACAAAAAAAAAAACGTGGCACCTCCCACAAATTTTTCATTTAACCACATCATCCTTTTTCACACTATATTAGAAATAAACTTAAAAATGCAAATAAGCAAATCATTAAATTCCTTTTTTCAAATAAGAAAATAAACATTTTATTGCCTAAAATGCTGTAGGTAAGCATTCCTTTGGTAAATCTGAACCGAGTGAAGCTAAAACTATGCAACTTGAGGAATTTATTCTTGAAATCTATTTTCAGACAAATTTTTATGTTAAATGCAAAATGTATATATTTTTGTACAGTTTTAGCCTAATTACCTGTGTGAACATGTTTTATTTTTTCAGCAAATGACATCGTGTCTGAGTCTCTATGCTCCAGTTGACGACTAATCGATTGCTAAATTAGTTGACAGTTACCTCAGTAATCGATTAACAGCAATTAATCGTTTCTACCCCAAGCTCATCATTTCACAGTTAAAGTGACTCCGTGGAGACAAATGTCACTGTATAAATAAAACTCCACAGATATAAAGAGCAGAGTTCAGCCCGTCTCTTCGAAAGACATTACAGGATTCCTGCCTTCATGCACCGTCACTGTCATCTGCACAGATCCTGTACTTGTGTGTTTTCATGTGACGAAGCCCTTTGTCTTGCCCTGTGATGGACTGGCGACCTGTCCAGGGTGTACCCCACCTCTCGCCCATTGACAGCTGGAGATAGACACCAGCACCCCTCCCTGCCCCAATGGGATCATGGTGTAAAAAAATGGACGGACAGACGGACGGACGGACGGACGGATGGATGGATAAGCCCTTTGTGCTCCAAAGCTATGTAGTTGATAAACTCCTCCTCCTTCGCCCTGCACTGGGTGGCGCCCGGACAGAACAGCCTCGACAGAACCTGCCATCTCTGGAGCTTCTGTAGTTACAGCCAGGCATCTGCGCTATATTGAGGCTCATCCTGTCGCCATGGAAACTCTTAACTTGTTGAATGTGCAATGCGGGAACCTGTCCGGGTTTCGTTGTTGGAGAGCTATACATTAGTTGAGCTTGCAGAAAAATTTGGGAGCAGTTTTTAAAAACCAGTAGTGGTGAAATTTATGTCCTCTCCTCTTCTGTCCCCTGAACACACCGTGCCAGTAATGAATGGTGGCGTTTGCATCATTCTGTGAAACAAGGAAACTGGTCAGGGTTGATGAGGGAGACGAATGGAGCTGATGCAGGGCAGTTAGACGGAAAGTCTGCGACAAATGACCAGAAGCTTAGGCGAAGTTTCACCTTTTGTCAGGCCAGTGTTCCTAAAAATACAACCAAAGTTACAATGGAACGGTTCAGGTGTTAACATAATTTTGTCTTGGAATGACCTAGTCAGAGTCTAGATCTAAATCCTTTGAATAGCAACTTGAAAATTGCTATTCAAAGACATCCTTTGTTTTATCAGACTGAGAAAATGTCAGAATTATATATATGCTACTCTGTGTTAGTCTGTCACATTCTGGTTGTAATGTAACAAGATGTGTAATCATTAAAGATGCAGTATTTTATAAAACAATACTTTTTTTACATGTTTGTTGAAACTGTCACTATGTCGTGACTGTATGGTATGAGACAGATAATTTGTCCTCTGCCTTCTTCCAGTGTTCCCAGTGCTAAATAGAAACAACCAATCAGAGCCAGGAGGAGGGTCTTAGTGCTGTCAATCACCCTGTGGGTGATGCATGCTACACTGCAGCTAGCAGAGAGCAAGGGGGTAAGACTTGCAGTGTTGCACAGTCTTGAATGCTACGGCTAGTAACATGGCCAACAATTAACGGTTGCGGGGTTTCCTGTAACGGCAAGTTGTTTCTCCGTCATTAGCACATTTAGCAGCGAGTACGTGTGGAGGATTGACAGCGCTTAGACCCTCCTCTTGGCTCTGATTGGTTGTTTTTGATCGGGAGTGGTGTATTTTTTCAGACAGCAATAGTAGCATTATGCAATAGAATCAATTAAAAGAAAAGCTTTCCATTGTTTTCCATAAGCAGATTTCAAAGTTGTTTTCATAAACGCAAATATGAACGAGAGCAGTCAGTATCAATCAGGAAACACTGACACAGGATTTTGGTGACTTTGGATATTTTATTAACTTTTATTCAAAACTTGATAATAAAGTAATAATTAGAACCAGAATATATGTAGGGTTTTGACAAAGTATTTTTCCCTCTTATAGATTTCTTCTCTTTTTCATGTCAAAATTAGTTTGATGGTCTTAATAATTTAAGTGACAAAAAAAGGTAAAAAGTGAACAAGTATATAAGGAAAAATAGTTGGAATATCTATTCTGTAAACTTATTTAACTGTTTACAGAAATCTATAACCCAACATTTCTTTTGTGGTTACGCGCTGCGCTCACCATTGTGTGTGTGTTTTGTTTTTTTTTGTTTTTTTTTACCCTCTGTTTCAGTTGCTCTGTGGAAGAGAAATCCCCCGCTGGGTCAACAGACTGGCTTATTTCAGCTCCTGCATCCCCTTTCTGCAGAGCTGCCTACCCAAAGAGTGGCTGACCCCGGCCGCTCTGCAGAGCCACATCAGCCTTGGCCTCCACAAGGAGGAGCAGAATGACTCGAGCGACGAGGATCCCACGTCGCCGTCCGGCGCGGCTGCTGCCGGCTCGGGCTCCTCCCACAGCTGTCGCCACACCCGGGTGTGACCCGACCTCTGGACCCACGCCGCTGTCGCCGGCGGCTTCAGTAGGCTTTGAACAACCAACTGACCTCATTCTGTTTGGCCTCTGAATGAAAAGAGACTGGAAACATGAGCTTGCTCTTTGGTGTTTGACGGACTCCTCAAAACCTGGAGACTCCTTGACGGAAAGCCTGGAAGAAAACTCTGAGACCTCGAAGGGTCGGCTCTGACTCCAACCGTACACACTCGTAGATCCGACGTTTGTAGTATAACATTCTTAGTCTTTTCCACAAAAATTCAAAAAAACCTTTGTCAGCCTTGTTCCCTGCCCTGCCTTCGAAGCTGCTTTTGTAGAAAAAATGAAAACTTTCTAGACAGTAACATTACCAGAAAACTGCTAATCTCCGGAAGTTCGGCAAGTCCTCGTTTAATAACCTCTTTGTGGCCTTCGGATGATATCGCTGAATCCAGTTTCTTAAGGTGTATCTATTCTGCGGCCATTTCAGAGGATGAGTTTCGGGTGGGAGGTTGGGGTTGATATTTCCTTAAAGAGAGAAAATGTTGCATGTTGAGACAATGTCATAAATTAGACAACTAACCGGAGATGCGATGGGGCGACGCAGTACTTGACCTCTTACAGATTTCTTTTGTTTTAAATTTTTATATCAGAGAAAGATAACCCAAGTAGATAAAAAAGTAATTTTATAGATAATTCCCTTTCTGAAATGACAAAAGTTATCCAAACCAACCTGACAGTAGAAGAAAATAGAAATGTCCTCTTTAGTTTCACTAGTTACATTGTCAGTATTGCCAGACATGCATAAAATCCCTTCAACAGAACCTGTCTGACATTTTAAAGTAGGCTAAAAGATCACAGAAACCAACTGAGTATTCCCAAATTTAAAGAAATTCAAGAAATTTGCACTTCAGAAAACTAGGAACGATAGAAAATCTTCCCAAAATCGTCCATCTGACCCAAAATTACTCCAAGAATGCATCAACTCATGCAAGAAGTAAAAAAATAAAATAACTCCAAAACTTCAATTTTGGCATTGCAAACCTTTTTATGAAATCACGTGAATTAACAACAAGAAAGACCTCTGTGCAAAGATGGAAAAGAAAAAAAACCCAAGCCCCCTGTTAACGATTGACGAGACAAAATTAGGACTTGGCCAAGAGTTTGTGGCCTCAAGCAAGCAGTCCTGGGTTTTTCAGCTGGACTGAACTGTTGGATCCAAACTGTCCAACTGCAGATCATCCAAATTTGGGTTTGAGACTTTACAGTTTAGTGAGGTTAAGAGCTAGAAACATCACGTTCATGTTCTCTTTAGGACAAACATAGATTGCTTGCGTATCCAAGGAAACACCAGCAAGTCCTCTATCCGAATGGCTAAAATCATAAAAAGTAAAGATTTTTAAGTTGGGTAGGCAACTTAAAAATCTTTACTTTTAAAGTAAAGATTAAAAAGTAATCTTTTTAATCTTGGGTAGGCAAGTTATAGGTACTTTGGGATACCTAGAAAATCTTCTAGTGGTGCTGACTGACTTGAAACAATCCTGCAAAGAATACAGGGTCAAAGCTAATCTGCAAAGACGTAAAGGTCTCTTAGCGGTAGCTACAAATGCTTGCCACCAAAGGTGTGGAGGGCAATTGCATTTTCTCAAAAGACCCGATTGGTCTAAAAAGCCTTTTTGAACGTTAGCATTGGATGGGTAATGAAAATTGCAAAGAAAACAGAAGAAATCTGTGAGCTGGCAAATACTTTTTACCCGTCGAGTCGTCATGTAAACCTTCTCGTGATCTTTTTTTAGAAGAAAATCTCTTTACTGGGATTTACAGTGTGAATAAGCCATTAGCCGAGCAACCAGTTTCTTAACGGTTGCTAACAATCAAGAGTGAATACTTTTAGTTGAAACAGCTGCTGTTCGGTGAGCCTCAGGCAGCTCGGTCACTGTCTCTGACCGTCTCAGAGAAAAGTTTCTAGTGCTGTTCTCTCAGTTACCAACTCTGTGACCTAGCACATTTTTTCTGTCTACTCTTTTATATCCAAGTGATCTTTGTACTGTTAACATTATTTCCAGCCAGACTCATCATTAGAACCACAGAGACAGAGGTGCCGCGATAAACAGGAGCAGAAATCTGTCTTTTCCCTTCCATCAGGAGTCCAACATGTTGTGTGTGCAGTTACTGAGTTCGGCTTAGCATTAAGATTGGCCCCTTCGCAGGTCACAGTTCAGCCCCCCGCTGTATCGACTTCTTAAACTGTTTATTGTGCCGGCAACAAAACACGAAAACAACAAATCCAGATTGGTTTTGAGAGATTACATGCTGAACTGTTTCTCGCTTTAACACCAGCTGCACGGGAAGAGACGTTCCTGGAATGTCTCTGGGTATAAACGCATGATAATCGTCTACAAGAACAAAACAAAAAAAGAAAGATGCATTGTTTTGCCATTTGATTTGTTTTTTTTGTTGATTTTGTTGTTGTTTTTTTGGTGATGATTATGCAAGCCACATGTAAGAGGTGGAAAGAAGATTTTAATACCCTGGGACAACTGTGTCTGCTTTACAACTCTGTTTCTCAAAAGGTGAGATGATGTGACAAATGTAACCAAGAGCAGAACAAGCCCAGATGCTCACAGCAAGGGGAAACGACGATGAATTTAAACTGATTTGCATTTTCACAGCAAGCGTTTGGGAAGTGCAGTAAATATCGTGCGTAGTTTGGAGTATGTACTGATTTTATAAGTCGTGACATCAGCAAAGTGGAAGGAAATCATGTCGGTACAGATGCCGACTCCCACAATGTGCACTGAAAACTGTCCTAAAGGAACGGTGCCTTGCAAAAGTATTCTTACCATTTAAGGTTTTCCATATTTTTGTCATGTTACAACACAATCTTCAGTGAATTTTAATGGGATTTCACAGGATAGTGCATGGCTGTGAAGTGAGAGGAAAATACTACAACAGATGGGTTTTTGTAGCTTTGTGCAGAAATGGTTTTAAAATTATGCCATGCATTTGATACCACTTTTGTTACAAAACTAGCTGGAACTCTTTACCTATTCTCCTTTAGAATACAGATTTACTGAATTTCGCTCACCAGCGTAAAAGGGGCTGAATACAAATGAATGATACACTTTTTAGATTTTTATTAGTGAAAAATGTTTTAAAAATGCCACGATTTCCATCCGTCTCACTATTGTGTAATTTTACTGGTCTGTCAGGTTAAATCCCAGTGAAATTCAATGACGTTTGTGGTTAAAATGTGAAAACTGAGAAAAGTATGAAAACTTTTCCAAGGAACTTTACTTCTTTTCTTTAGCAGAGAAGAAGATGCAGCATATAAGGTCCCGCCCAAAGAATAGTCAGAATAAAAGATTTCTGGTTTACAGCCTGAGGACTAATTAAGATTTTCACACCTTAGTCTTTGTATTTCCATATTTCTCCAAATCTTTTAAACATATTTTGTTCTCTGGATAATAACATCAAGCGTCTCCTCCTGAAAAAGTGTGTACTGGCTGAGATTTTTTAGTCATTCATTTATTTTAATTTTTTTTTTACCTGTTTTTAGGTAAGTTAGTCACCATTTTACACATTTTTCACAATTTTGCTTCTTGTGTGTACTTTTTCTCTCCCCTAGTTTCTTGAAATATCACACCTAATTTAAACTGAGCATGTTTAACATGATTCATTTTTCTCACTTGACATGACGTGTCTTAATTCAATATGATTCCTGTGTCGGCCTCCTACTCTTCCCGGTATCTGCAGACGTAGTAGTGGCATCGATCCCTCGTCGCCATGATCGCGATCTCGTGTATTTACAGAAAATTTCCGTAAAGTTTATTTTTCTGTCGCATGAACGGCAGAAAGATGGGAAGAGAATAAACGGTCACGTGTTTCATCATTCCAATCATAATTGGCCTCTAAGGCATGAGAGCAGACGAACATAAACGACTGCGGTGTTCTGCATCCGGCTTGCGTCGGTTTTGTCCTCGTCGGCGTAAGATTGCATGATCTGAATCACTTTTCCTGGCCGTGCTGTTTTGTTGTGCTGCGTCGCTGAACGATCGCCCCTCTCTCAGGAAGGAAATCACATGGTTTCTAGTACGACTGACTGAATCCCACAGGGAACGGGCTTAAAAGTGCAGATCAATCATTGAACTTCTTCGTGCTGCTGAGTAAGCTGTATCCTCGTTTTTACGGAAATGCTTTTGTCTTATTTCTTTTTTCCCCCCCACCAGTTTATTGTGTTGCAACCTTCAATATATTATTTTTTTTTTGTGTGTGAAATTGTACAGTGGTTCAGTATTAAATCCTGGAATCTCTTTCGACACAGCAGGCCAGAGAGGTGTTGGAGTTTTATTTTTATCATTATTATTTTATTTGATTGTGTCTATCAAAAAATTGTATTTCCTTCTCCTAACTCCATAAATCCCCAAAATGATGGTAATTCTAGAATAAAGAGATTGATTGCAACTAGATCTTGTCTTTATTTTTGTCAAATAAGACATTGCAAACATTGGATTAGCAGATATGTTAAAGCAAGTAATATATTTTAACTACATAGACACATTTCATATGCAACCATATGCAACCTTCTTTCATGGCTGACCATTGTATGGAGCATCTCTATTCAAAAATCATTAGTTAATTAAAGACGTTTGTTTTAGATCACACAGTATAAGTAAGCATGGAGTTGCTCATTAAGAATCATATTTTTGTATGTATGTAACAAATTCTATTAAGTCATTTTTGTCTCTCCTTACATTATCCATTTTGTAATATAGTGTATTTTTGGCCACCACGCTGTTTTTAAAAAATGCCTATTTATTTATTTATTTGCGTTTTAGATTATTATTAATAAAGTAATTGATGTAAATTAGTCCTATTTTATGTCCCGAAGACCAGTAATAATAGCTTTCTTATAATCTAGTTTCTTATTATATTATTATATTCTATTTACTATTAAAATGCGGCGTATAGCTATATATAAAATGTATTTATTAATTTATGTTTCTATATATTTATAAACCAGGACAAGAACAACATGTTTCACAGAATACGCCCAGATGGGTTGCCAAGTAGTAGTTTACATCCCTCTTTATTCAGAAAGCTTAGTTGCGGTTATTTATTTTCTTTCTGGCATCCACATAACATTCTTGTTTGTTTGTTTTTGTTCTGTTAATCTGTTTTTCTGTTCTTTCTGAAATACTATCGCCGATTATGTTACAACGGTAAACCATAGTGCAAAGGTTCTCAACTAGAGGTGCTCGAAAGTGCATTTACCAGAAACCTGGCAACCTAAAGGCAACCCATGGTCTTTCCTCCTCTGCGGACTCATTCGCCATTTTGATCCAGTTTTTCTGGGTGACCTACATTCGGTTAACAACCTGCAACGTAAGCAACACTTCAATTTTTCTCGGCAAGAAAAATAGGTAAGCATGCCTGAAATATTACGTTAATTGATTTCAACATATTTTCATGTGTTTAACGAGGTCGCTGTAACGTTATTTCTACTGTCAACAGCGACTGTTTTCGTGTCTAACGTTAGCTCTCCTCGGCTAACTGAAAGCGACCTCGAGGCGAGTTAAAAAAAGAAAGCGAAGAGCAATTTTTGCTAGAAAACCTAAGATAAATTAGTTCTAAAAAAACGGAAGCGTTGAAGCATACTGTACATAATTTTTTTTTACCTGTTACGTTTAGTTTTTTAGGCGACAGTAAATTTATTAACGCATTGCGCAGTAACAGGGTTTTTTGCAGTGTTTGCGAAGGTCTGACGGCTGGTGCAGGCCCGAAATCCTTCTGTGCGATCCTTTACCATAAATGGGTAAAATTGTTTACACTTCTATTTTACTTTTATATTAGCGGAACCAACAAAATAATGTTTATATCTGCGCTACTTTCTTTACGTTTTGACTTGCAGTAAGTGTTAAATTTTATTTTTAAACCGGTTAGTCGCTCAGAAGTGAAACGGTTTTGACCAACACGAGGACTCCTTGAACGGTTTTCATGGTTTTTGACTCAGAAGCTTTAAATAAACCTGATTAAAGCTGAAAAACAATTATTCAGAACGTAGTTATGTTTTACTTTAAAATTAAACTCAAACATACTTTATTGATCCCAAAGGGAAATTAAATATCAAAGATATGTAAATATTGCGATATTTATGTGAGTAAAATACCGTGGAGGAAAGATTTACTTTTCAATTGGTACTTTTTTTGTATTGTCTAATAAATTTGCATAAAATAATTGGGATGATCAAATTAACCACAGTTGGATCAAAGCACAATTTTGATTTGTAGTATTCCACTTGTAGTTTTGGCTTTATTGTTTGTCTTTTGAATTTTAAAACAACAATGCCGTATGAAGAGAGATGTGTGCTACCACTTTAACTTCTAAGCTGTGTGGGAGGAGACTCAAAGGAGGAAATAACTTGTTGTTTGCTTGGGAGTTCTTTCACCAAGATGATGATTAATTTATGTTCCTGGAAAAGGGGTAAACGGTATCTACAGTCAGTGTAAGACACAACAATAACAAGAAGTTCTTGTTATATTTTCCACACGTAAAAGATTGTATTATCTCGCCGTTTTCCCTTGTTTGACAATTTGCTTATCTCTTTGCAGCAAGGAGCAACATGAGCAGCAGCAGTCGCGTCTTCATCGGCCACTTGAGCACACATGCGAGAGAGAGGGACGTGGAGAAGTTTTTCAAGGGATATGGACACATAAGAGAGATCAACTTGAAAAACGGATTTGGATTTGTGGTCAGTGTGACACGTCCTTTCGGTACATTTTGATTTTGCTCTGGTTTACTCTTCAGCTTAAGGGAAATAATGCTCTCCCGTTCTTGTCAGGAATTTGATGACCACAGAGACGCCGACGACGCCGTGTATGAGCTGAACGGGAAAGAATTGTGCAGTGAAAGGTAAACGGTTTTCTCGGTAAAGGATTTCCCTGTTTTGCCACCTGTTTACTAGCGCAGGGTCATCTGAGCAGCTGCCAAGCAGTTAAAGTTATCTGCTCCATGAGTCAGCAGGTTTTTCCCTCTTTTTTTTTTTTTATACGCTTGCGTGGCCTTCCGCTTTAATCCGTTGTTTACACGTTCTTCCTCAGGGTCACCATTGAGCACGCCCGCTCCAGGAGAGGTCGAGGAGGCGGTGCCCCGGGAATGGGACGTTTTGGCGGCGGCGGCGGTGGTGGCGGCGGCGGCGGCGGCGGCTATCGCCAATCCCGCAATACCAGAGCCAGGTAGATGAGACTGGGGTCGCCATTTTGTTTCATAAAAGTCAAAGATGATCGTTTTCTATCTCAGTTCAAACCACCATTTCAAACCAGACCGTATGATCTGGCCTCTAAAAATAAGTCACTCGTGTATGACTGAAAATATTAATCGTGATGAATTGATTATTGAA